GATGCCTTACTTGCGCCCGACTTCATTAGATTAGCTCCTAGTGTACCAAAACATTCTGGGTCAATATGGGCTCAACTGCCAAATCCTCACAAAGAATGGGAAGTGGAATTTTCTTTTAGAATGTCAGGGAATTACTTTCTTGGTGGCCGAGGAATGGCATTTTGGTATACTAAAGAACAAAACAAAGGAGGTTCGTTGTTCGGGTGTAAGGAAAAGTGGGATGGGTTGGCGATTTTTTTTGAAACTGTGGATCATGTTAGAAAGGTGAATTATTTAATGCATATATATAGTGGTTATTAGTATATATATATACTTAGCACACCTTCTAAGCTATCATTTGTATATTTCGAATAGCGTGAGAATCCTTACATAATGGCGCATGTCAATGATGGTTCTGTTTCCTATAACAACATTTTGGACCCTTTTGCCGTTAAAATGGCTGGCTGTTACCGAATGCTTCGTAATACTCAAGTACCAATATTTGTAAAACTTACTTACTATAATAATACTCTAAAGGTAATTTCTACTTTTACATATTCTAAATGATATTATTATATTATTTTATTATAATTATTATAATTATTCCCCTTTTTTTGATAGTTGATGATTGATACTAGTGATGGAGGCGATTCTTATAACGTTTGCTTTTCAAAACCCGGGGTGTCTTTACCGTCGGGATATTATTTCGGAATTTCGGTGAGTTATAATGACGTTAAATATTTCAACGTCGATTCGACGAGTTTCTAAATTTTTGTGTCATTTAACATATGCATTGGTAGGCTGCTGCGGAAGGTGCTACACCAGGTATGCATAAAAATGATAGTAAGACATAAGGATGGACCGGTCGACATCATAATTAAAAACTAATCCGTCCATAGTAATGGAGTAATGGAATAAAGAATAATCTTTTAATTGACGTTTATTATCATTTGTGTGATCAGATGATCACGATATACTTTCCTTTGAAACATATGAAATAAATCCGACTGAAAAACGAGACGTAAGTTATTATTCTTATTATTTTTCAATGAAATACATTTTTAACTTAACTATTACGTGCAAATATAGAGACCGTTACGCCCCCATGAAGCTGAAAAAGCAAAAAAATCACCTTCAGAATCATTCGAAATACCAGAAGATCTTAAACAGGTATAAAAAAAACAAATTTTTTTTTGTAAATGTTTAAAAAAATTTAAATTAAAATTTAATATCGAATTTACACCTATTTTATATGGATTAGCGTATTGAAAATATTCAAAAGATAGTAACAAAGACAGAGGATACGCGTGAAAAAGGAGATCCAAGAAATCTTGATTTTATAAGAGGAATGCAAATCAGGATACTTGAATCTCTTGATAAAGTGCATGAACAATTACGTACCTTAGATGGTAGTCCGAAAGGTAGTGATAACTATTATAGTGGTTCAAGCAAGACAGAAAGCCAATTGGCTGCCGTTTCGTAAGTTCTAAGCTCAAGAGACGCTTGTCAGTACGTAAATGTCTTTCTGGTTTTTATGAGTTGTTTCTAAATATACCTGATTGTTTGTTGTTCCTTCAAATATAGACAAAAATTGGATAGAATTATTTCAAGTATCACGTCCCTCGAAACAAGAATATCTCGAATTCCTTTAGATGGAGGAAACGATCATGCAATTAGGGATTTAAAGGAAGACGTGCAACGTATAGCAAGTAAAATTGAGTCTTTAGACGTGAGTTGTTTTACTCCATGCCCTTTATTTTTTATATTTTACAATTTACTAATTGATTGAACATTTTAATTAGACTCGAATCGCTGGACAATTCTATCAGACACAAAGAAGTTTTCATGATGCTGCTAAACTTCGAGATAAAGATTCATCAACCACATCAATATGGATATATTTAATTTACTTTACTTTATTTGCAATCCTAACTATTGGTGGATATCTATTATACCAAACAAAAATGGAATTAGATCAAAAGAAATTTATTTGATTACAATTTATAAAATTTAGTTATACAAGATTTGAGTGACATAATATTAAATGGATCACGGAAGACGTTGGCATCATTCTTTTTATGTCACATATACGAGGATAAACCATTAATGAGAACAAATATCTTTTTATAAGTTACATTACATAATAGTTATGGGTGATAATTGTTGATATTTATTAATCGCTACCGATTTTTTTTAAATTTTCCATCTTGGTCGTTTCGACTGGTGATCTATTATTTGCAAAAAAACTTAGTACGGTAATCCAAGTAATATATATATATATAATGTGTTTAAAATCTTTACCCAATAAATATCAATTCTTTAAGAGAAGTTGTCTCTTTATCTCCTATATTATCCTCGATAAATAACTGCCAATAAAAAAAAAATAAAATCAAAATAATGTTTCCTGACTAAATTCAAAATTAAGAAGCACCAATGTTACAATGTTAAAACTTACAATAATATTTGTCACACTTTGAAATTTAACAAATCTTAATGGGATAATAGCATTTTCTTCGTAATCTTTCTGAGTCAATTGGAGTAATTGTGTCTCCTCGGTAGAATCCGTTTCATCGAAGCCGATATTGATTCTGTTAGCATAAAGTTTGATCGTCTTTGGAGCTTGCTCTGTGACAATAAATAAGACATTAATATATAACATAAATTTTACTTGACTTAATTGTTCGATATGATTAGTTAAATAACGAAAATAGCGAACAAACCAATATCATTCGCGACAAGCTTTATTGAGTGAAGCTTAACAGCTTGATTAAAGGGAACAGATATCAAGAGCTGTTCATCAACATCCGATTCAATATATGTGTCACCTTTAGTGAAAACACTCTTAGTTACGTGATTTTCTTTTAGGTTAAGACAATCAACTTGATTGAGTGTAATAAATTCATTTATATCCGTCTTTATAAAAAAAAAAAAAAAAAAAAAATTTTTTTTTCATTAGGAACAAAACGTGATAATATATAACAATACATTAACTATTTACATTTTCATCTTACTTACATGTCCCTGAATATTCAGTGAACTCGAACCACTTTCTTCAGGTGATCCCACATGCTGCGCAACGAGCCTTCTGAGTTCTTCAACATTGGCGCCTATCAATTGCGCAACTTGCTGACCGTTCTTGAAAAACTTGAATGTTGGCCTAAATTTTATACGGAACAGCCCATTCATTTATCAGCATCTTTAGATAAATACTCAGATTCCTTAATAAATTAATTATTTTACATTGATCTGACTTGAGCTGTAGTAGCGACATCTTGTAATTGATCAACATCAACCTAATATGATATGTTTAATGAACCATTATACAAAATTTGTTCCTTTAATCTTTTTGGAAAAAAGCAAGAGATATACCTTCGCAAAGTTAGCATGTCTATATTTTGAACTTAATTCATTAAAAACAGGCGCGATCATATGGCATGGTTGACACCATGTTGCATGAAAATCCACCACAGTCTAAAAAAAAAGTTGAAAACAACGTTTAAAATGATAAACAAATGATTTAATTCAAACTATATACATACTAGTTTTGGTGAAGCAATAAGTTCTTGATACTCCGGTAAGCTCTGAATGATTTTGATGTAAGACATTGTACGTACGTAAAAAAAAAATACGTTTACCATTAGTGATAGTGATAGTCATTTATATAGCTTTTTTTTTCGGAAATAACTACATCATTCATTGGCCAAAGCTTATAACGTGACATTAACCCACAAATGTGTAAAAATCTTATCTACAGTATACAATGGATCTGTATATCTGATATTTCGACAATCATTTACGTACCGCGAAAAAGGATGGTATTGTTTAGGTTAGGTTCTAAAACTTTAGGTTTCAAATTAAAAACAAAAGAACCGGGTTTTCATACAATATATTAAACCTGGTTTGGTTTAGAACCAAGGTTTGGTTCTTAACGATAACTGTATACGTAATTTAAGTTGAATAAACCTTTTACAGTATATATTAAGATATAGAAATTTTGAACAAGTTGCATTAACACCAATCTCCAGATTAAAAAAAAAAAGATTACTGTATGTAAGTTATAAGTAAAAAAGAAAAATGGTTTCAAATAA